GTATAATTGGACGTTTATATCTCCTTGGGCATTTTGAACCTAGGGTAGAATTTAATTTAAAAATAATCACATATGTTCTTGAATTTGAATATGTAATTAAAAGGGGATATTCGTTCAAAATTGTCAATAATTTTTTTTTTTATGTAAATCTTGTTTGTATGGTATGTAGCATCGAATATAGAAATTGGAAATTAATAATAATTAGCAAAACTTGGACAACGGCGCAGATACGCGCATACTTCATTTTCCGCTACAATATAGAAAAACACCCGCAACGGCTAGTTTGTCGAACGGTAACACCCAACGGTCAAAAAATTCAAATCTCTATAATTTCTCATATTACCCCCCACGAAACCACACCGTTTCTTTCATTCTCTCTGCCCCTCTCTCTCACCCTCCTTCCCCATTCTTCTTCTCTCTCCTCTGAGACTTCTCTTCTTCATCTAAAAAGCCTTCCGTATATCTTCTTCATCTTTAGATCTCACTTCTGCTATATATCATTCAAATTCAAAGATGTTGCAAGATATGTGGAATGCTCCGCCTGGTTTCAGACCCACCAAGTCTGCCCCTTCCTCACCAGCCAAGCCTCTTGGAGTTTCGAGGACCCGGTCTGAGTCGTTTCATGTGACTCACAAAGTCCCAGTAGGCGACACTCCTTATGTTAGAGCCAAGAATGTTCAGGTAAATCTTCTGGGTTCTTTTTAAAATTTGGATCAGAAATCTGGAAATTGTTCTTTTTTCTTGTTTTGGTTCATGTTCTAATTGATGGGTGCTTTTTGTTTTCCAATAGTTGGTGGATAAGGATCCAGAAAAGGCGATCCCACTATTTTGGGCTGCCATTAATTCTGGGGACAGAGTGGACAGTGCTTTGAAAGACATGGCTATTGTGATGAAGCAACAGAACCGGGCTGAAGAAGCCATTGAAGCCATCAAGTCACTGAGACACCGGTGTTCGGATCAAGCCCAAGAATCTCTTGACAACATTCTTTTGGATCTTTACAAGGTATGAAAACCCCCCAAAATATTCGTAAATTCTAATTATGATATGAGACTAACAAGCAGTTACTGATAATTTGGGCGAATTTTTTTTTTCTATAGAGATGTGGGAGATTGGATGACCAAATAGCACTTTTGAGGCACAAGTTGTACTTGATTCAACAAGGGATGGCCTTCAATGGAAAGCGCACCAAAACTGCCAGATCTCAGGGGAAGAAATTTCAAGTCTCTGTGGAACAAGAAGCCACTAGATTACTGGTAAGATTTCGATGCAAACGAAAACCAAATATTTGTTATTTCACTTCAAAATTAGTGACAACAGTGAGACTAATTCTGTGTTTGTGTTTTCAGGGGAACTTGGGGTGGGCTTTAATGCAGCAGAACAACTACATTGAAGCTGAAGATGCTTATAGGCGTGCTCTAACAATTGCACCAGATAATAACAAGATGTGCAACCTTGGGATTTGTCTAATGAAGCAAGGAAGAATTTCTGAGGCTAAAGAAAATCTTCGCCGTGTTAAACCCGCAGTTGCAGATGGTCCAAGAGGAACTGATTCCCATCTCAAAGCCTACGAAAGGGCTCAGCAGATGCTCAAGGATCTTGAGTCTGAGATGATGAACAAGGGCGGGGACCGGGTTGAGCAAAGCAGGCTTTTCGATGCCTTCCTTGGGTCTTCATCGATTTGGCAGCCTCAGCCTTGCAGAGACCACCACCATAGCAGCTTGCCAGGAACAACAGATTCTGTTAAAACTCACCAAGATGAGTTTGCTGATGAGAATATCAATTCAAACATAAACATATTCACAAACCAGATGGGGCTTCCCCAGCATAAAAGTATAAAGCAAGTTCCTCAAGCCCCTCCTCCTTTTGGAAACTCACTAAATGTTGCTGCACAGCCCTACTACGCAAAGTTCATGCCAGCCCCAACTAACAATCAAATTGCTGAGACCCTTAAGAGAACAAGGTCTGGAAATGCTGCCAATTCAATGAGAGTGACCGATACGGCTGAGATCACAAAGCCTACTGTGGAATTGGGTGTACCAGAGAACAAGACCAGAAGAAGGCTCTCTCTTACATCTGAAGAAACAGGGGACGAGTTAACAAATTTGTTGCCCGACAACAAGGACTTTGAAGAAGCTATCATCTCTGCGGTTATTGACCCAACTAATGAAACTGGGAAGGTGACTGGTACCAGCAACAGTTCCGGGATCTTTCCGAAGAAGATTGAAAAGAGGCTGAGGGTTTTTCAAGATATTACTCTCTCTTTGAGTCCAAGGGCCTGAACTAATTTAATCTAATTAGTCTTCTATATTAATCATTTACCTTTAAACTCATTTAATTTGAAGAATTGCATAGTTTTTTTAGGCTGGAGATGAACTTGTTCTCCTTTCTTTATCTTATCTTCTGGGAGAGAGTAGAGTATGTAGTTGAAGTTGTACGGGTAGAGTTATTCTATGTATGCCTTGCAAATTGTAAACAGGGCCAATCTTTAACAGAACAATAATAATAATAACGGCTCTTTTTCTACAACTCTCAATACTGTCAAGTGTGAAATCATTTTTGTTCTGGCTAGTTTAAAATCAACTGTCACACCATCATATTTATTCATGACAATTTACATAAAATCTGGACAACAATAAAATTTAAAAGAAAACATGGAGCTACGAGCAAGGCAGCTCTGCTCTGGAAAGAAAAGAAGCCAGCAGGTCCTTTTCTGCTTGATCGCTAACTCGTGAGCAAAGCCGCCCGTCATAAGGGTTTAAAGGAGGGATATTTTGGAAATATTGGTGATTGAGTTGTCTCAGGTTCCCAGTGAACTGTAGTTTCCACTCTAATTGAGGGTCTTCATGTCTTGGATGAAACCTTGGCATTTGTCGTACACTAGCGCTGCAACTATTGCAGCAGCAATGCTAAGAGTAACTACCAGTTTCGGACCCAGAGAAGGTGAGGTAAAGCCAAGTTCTGATAGTTTCTTGTGTGAAACTGCATAATGTCTGAAGAATGCTTCATTATCCTGCTCATATACAAAATAGTCATGTTAATTGCCAGATGTGAATATGGTAAAATTATCAACTACCACAGCCTGTGATGTGATACCAATCTTTTTTCTTCTTGTAAGCATGGAACACTACAAGGAATTGCAGAAAATAGATAAGTTTCGTAACCACAACAGTCAATGGTATTGACTAACCGTGTGGAAAATCCTTGCATTCTCCTAACTTCATTTGTTTTTTGTTTAATTTTTGGCTTGGAAACTTTATTTACCTTTGCATATAGCTCAACATATCGACGGAACACAGGATCCTCCACTAAAACCTTGTCCGTGGGAAGTTTCAACAGTCCCTCTGATTCCCCTTTCAGCAGTTCCCTGATCACAGAATTTATATCTATAACCAGAGGGAACATTCATTATTGCATATAAAAGTAGACAACTTTCATGAATGTCTTACACAAAATATGAGTTATCAAACTTTTCAGGCTCCTTTGTCCAGGGGCCATCAAAGCCAGATCTGTTCTGATGTGCCCTTCCCTACAGAACCAAAAGAAAAGAAGAGATGAACTCTACGTACAACAAAAACATTGTCTACTTTTTTAGTATATGGATGGAGAAAGTTACCAGTGTATGGCCTCCAGACAATACCACAATGTCCTTGTCAGACAGGCCCATACGATAGAAAACTTCCCTCAAATGGGATGCACCTATTAACAAAATGAAACAAACAAACATATTTCTTGTGCTACAAGCTGAATTTGCAAATGAAAAACTTGATGAACATGATTGATGACATACCAAGTTTGGCATCGGGAACGCGCCCGTCGGCAGGAGATTGGGTTGAGTCCTGATTGAGAGATAAAGAAAGTTATAAATTTTTTAAAGAAAGAAGAACAGCTTTTAAGTAGGTGTTTCGAAACCGACATGCATACCTTTCTGCCCGGAACAAAGTTAATGGATGGACCTCCAGTGATCTCTACTGCAACAACTCCAGCTAGCTGGAAGACAAACCTTTGAAGTTAGCCAAATTGAGGGTTTCATCAATAATAGCTATTATGCATGTCAAACTATGCATTGCATAACAACCTGGTAGAGGTCAGCATATGTAATTTTGGGGTGTTTGGCCTTCACTTCTTCTGAAAATCAAAGCACAATCAGAAACACGTAGAGAAAGTGAATTGAGAATAAGTAAAAAGGCAAAAGCTTACCACATAAATTAACCGCAATATCCAGTCCATAATTTGCACTACGGTTTAACTCTTCCTCGTTCCTGATTGAGCCATTAGGCCCTCCAGCTACTCCATTCTTTGGTTTAGCGTCGTATGTTGCTGCATCATGCCACCTATCAAAATAATGGTTATATACTTAGAGATTGATTTAAGATCACCTGAACCATCATAAATTAGTTACCATTTCGATAAAAAAGTTAGGGACTAGATTTTTAAAATGGCATCTTTAAGGCCTAAGAAGGGACCAAATTGTTAACAGCAACAATAGGGTACCCCCACGAAAACAGCTAATGATCGTGTTTGGTTGCTGAGAAAATGATGAAAATAGTGACAACAAGACATCACATTCAAAAGGGCATTTCCTTTTCACCAGTTTTATGGAGCAACCAAATGTAAGGTCATGGGAGGACCAAGTTTAAGGGAAAATTAAGAATGAACATTTACGCTAAACGAAGCATGATAGGGGCGCAGTTCTTGCTGTAGATAAGAGCACGCAGGTCTCGGCGAGCCTTCTCGATTTCCATGAGGTACTCTTTGTTTACTACTGGCGCGGCCATGACTCGAGAGCAAAGGGCTTATTTTAGTCACACTTTACAAAGAAGACGATTTTGTTCCAGTTTATATGGGGAGGTCTAAAAGAAGAATCGGAATAAAGGAATGACTGGCAGGAGGGTTTTGCAAGCGAACAAGAAAAGCATTGGTTCCATGTTTCGAAGGCCAGGGAAGCATCATCTTGCACCTTCTTTCTTGTGCTTTCAAATTTCTTGGTGAAGTTACGAAAAGCAAGCAATATATGGGCCATATCTATTGGAAACATGTCCTTTATAAGTTCAGTTCTAGAATTTCAGAACTTATTACAGAACAGTAAGACAATTAAGTACTAATAACATATGTTCCCCTGATGGAATATGCTTCACTGGCTTCTCATGATATTATTAAAAATATTTACATTTTTACTAGACTTTTTTACGAACTTCGTATAAGTAACTCAGGATCACAACAGCTGCAGCAACGGCAACTCCCACAGCACTTTGTGCCACCAAAGTACTTGTCTTTACAGCTTCCTTGACACTGGACGATGGAGTAAAGCCTAGCTCTGATAGTTTCTTGTGTGACACTGTGTAGTCTTTGAAGAATGCATCCTCATCCTGCAAGGTAATAGAGCCAAAAGGTAAAGCCTTGATTTCACCCAAGCTCTTAATTTCCTTGCAATTTATTTACTGATTTACCGAAGATAAATCAAATTAGTTACCTTTGCATAAAGCTCAACATAGCGGCGGAACTCAGGATGGTCCAATAAAGCCTTGTCTGTGGGAAGTTTCAACAGCCCCTCTGATTCCCCCTTCAGTAGCTCACTGATAAAAATTTAATTACAACATAAACAATTGTCAATGTGTGCTGCATTTGGTCCTACCAATTGAAAGTTTTAAAAATCAATTGTGTTAAGTATAATATTGATTTCTTACACAAAGTATGAATTGTCGAACTTCAAAGGCTCATTCGTCCAAGGGCCATCAAAGCCTGACCTTTCCGGATGTGCTCTACCCTACAGAAACAAAGAAGTATTCAATATATGTATATTATATATAACTGAAAAGTATTTTGCACATTGTTGAGTCCATTAAAAAGCTACCAATGTGTGGGCTCCTGACAGTGCCACAATGTCTTTATCAGACAGACCCATGCGATAAAAGATGTCCTTCAAATGTGATGCACCTGCAGCAAAATCGAAACAACAAACCATTACGACATTGAAGGAAGTCAGAATAATGATTTGTTCATCTTCCTTTAGCACACTAATAAAAAATAACCCAAGAAGAAGAGAGAGAACCTAAGTTTCTGTATTAAAGCAGCTGAAACTTTATCGGCATGCATACCTTGTTTGGCATCTGGAAGCCGTCCTTCTTCCGGAGACTCCAGTGAATCCTGGATTCAGAGATAGAAAGAAAGTTCAACAACTGCAAGGAACATACTTGATAAATATGTTATTAACAACTGCCATGAATGAACATACCTTTCTACCAGGAACAAACTCAATAGTAGGGCCACCAGTGACCTCCACAGCAACAACCCCAGCAAGCTAAGATCATAAGACAGAAAAATTACAAGTTACTCAAATCTGGTTCTCACATGGAGCTAGGTAACTAGCTCATCCAATATTTACAGAAAAAAATAAAATCCCCTAACTAGTGAATGTGTGTGACGTTTTTTATCTGATCAAAATAAAACTTGCTCCATTCATAAAACAAAATAAATAAATAAAAACTATACCTACATTGGTAGATGAGTTAGAAAGTTTCCATAAAGATGAGATCCTCCCCAAAAAATCACACATCGGAACCATAATTCATAAAACAATGGCCCTTGAAATCTACCAGAGTCCATTGAGCTTTGCAGTGTATTATGTTACACAAACATTTTCCTTATGAAATAGCATATAGCAAGGACCAAACAACAAGTACAACATAAGGCCAAAGGTTCACAACAAAACAAAGAGAGATTAAAAAACTACAGTCACCTGGTAGAGGTCAGCATATGTGATCTTCTGATACTTGGCTTTCACTTCCTCTGTTATCAAAACAGAACAACAAAAAGAATTAGGGGAAAATTCAACTGTTTGGCATCTACAATTAAATTTCTTGGGAGCCCGAATGGTTTCCAATTTCAGTCGTTTCAAAGAGTACAGCAACTCAGAATTGGAATTAACTCTAGGATACTTCAAAAACAGTAGAATCCAATAGACAAGCTCTGTCTATGAGTTGACCTCATCAAAATCAGTACAAATTTTTTGCTTTTTTAATATGAAAACTATCAGTATAAACTATCAATGAATTGCTTAAGAACTTCAGTACAGATAAAAGTTCCCGAAAATTCTCACCACAAAAATTGACAGCAATTTTCAAACCACTATTTGCGCCATGGTTTAGCTCATGCTCATTCCTGATGGAGCCATTAGCACCACCGGTTTTCGTTTCAGCATTGTATGTACCAGCATCATGCCACCTGCCTCAATTGATTGAATGTAATTTCTGATTAGTAAGAATTTAAAATTTTAAAAAGAAAGAAAAATTAAAACTTTCTTCTTCTTTTATTCATTGACTTTGGTGATTGGACAGTAACAGGCTATGAGCTGTTTGGTCAAACGGAAAATGCAAGAAAGAAAAAAAGAAACTCAAAACCGAAACAGTAAACTCATCCTTACTCAAAACTAGAACTAGACACTAGATATAAATTTCATTTCCCCTTCCTTCTCCTAGTTTTTCTCGGGAGCCAAACGGAACGTGGAAACAGCAAAGACGAAAGTGAAAAGAGAGCACTTACGCCAATCGAACCATGATAGGAGCGCAGTTCCTGACGGAGATGATAGCGCGAAGGTCCCGACGAGCCTTCTCGACTTCCTTGAGGTACTGCGCGTCCACTACTGGCTCCGCCATGAGAGAATCGGCCGACGAAATCGCAGGCTATGCGGAATAGAAGCAAAATCAAAAGCGAAGAAGGCAACGAACACAACGATTGAATTGAAGGCAACGATTGGTTTGCTTTGCTTTGGCCCGCTCTGTGTGTGGATGGATATACCGGATTGGATTAGCGGGAGAGAAGCTTGGGCGTTTTTTTATTCTTACTTTTCGTTATTATTTTATTATTGAAGGTGATTATGGTGCAGCGTAATTAGAGCGCGTGCGGAGCACCGGGCTTGAAGAGCACGATAAGTGAACTATTGGGAGGTGTTGGTGGAGCGTGGGATTTAAAATGATTTGAGAGCGCGTGTGGGGGAGAAGCTCCTTATCTCTCTTGGGCTTCGGACCTTCCAGTGCGGTCGTGGAACAGATTAACGAACTATTTTGACGAAAACCTTGGGATAAACGAAAGGACGATTATCGTTACGTTGCGCCCGCAGTTTCGGTCTGGCCCAGTAGGGCCTAAAAGGCTTTGAGAAAGATCGGAGTTTTTGGTGAAAGTACTGTGATTCTTGTAGCCCAATCATTTCCAAGCCTTGCCAATGACCGCAATCCGAGAAAAACTTTCATGAGGATGAGGCGGTTCTATAACAATTCTGTGTCTAGACCCTAGGTGATATTAGTCATAGACACAGAATATCAAACCGTCTCACGAAAGTTTTTCCCCTCCCAACAATGCTCGTGGAAGTTGGTTTTTAACTCTTTCTTTCTATGATATTATCCTTTTGGAAACTGATTTGTATGATGCACTCATTCTCTCTTACCTTGACTGGAAGGAATGTTCTTGTGAGAAAAATTAGCAATTAGGTTATATTGTAAAAGGTGTTTTCGTATAATTAGCTAGTGTTTCAAGTTTTCCTATTTAAAAAGTTCGTATTTTATGTTGCTTGTTAGAATTTAGCACGATATAGATGTTAAGTGAACAACATAACGTACCCGACTATCTGACAGGAAAATATTTATCCTTTCGTACTTATATGTGTACTTCAAATTTGCTCACTTATGTTGCCACAATGTTGGTATACGCATTTATTTTTGTTGACTTATTGTTGAATTTCAAGTGCATAGTGGTTTAGGTGCATGTGGTGCGGTATTATACGAGTAAGTCTGAACACTGAACAATATTTTTTAAACGAAGGCTAGCATATGTCCGTACAATTGTTCATGCACTTGGTCTCCATCTCTAGCTTCAAGTTTGTGACATACGTGGTGCAGGCCAAATTAAAGAACCCTAGATGGTTACAAGCTCAAAAGCTCTCTGCTTTCTTCATCAGTTAATAATTTTCCGTCAAAGAAAACAGAGGATGTATAATTGCATTGCTGTGATAAGTCAGGAAGCTTCAGTTTGTAAAGTAAAACCACCACATAATATTATGACTAAACATGAGTTTCTGTTAACGACAATGATCCACACATGCATTGGTCACTTGAAATAAACGGTTTATAGTTGCCCAAACAAGTCTACATTCACTTTAATCAAGGGCCTATAATTGTTGATGCACACGTTAAAGACTGTGTCTAACATTATATATATATATATATATATGTATGAGGTGACCGAAGAACGCATAATTTAAAATTTGAGAAAGCTGAAAGGCAACGTTGTTGCCATTTTAACCCTGAAATGAAATGCTCTCTCTCTCTCTCTCTCTCTCTCTCTCTCTCTCTCTCTCTCTCTGTGGAATCCACCACGGTTCCCAAAAAGAACCACAGAGATAGAAAACAAAACAAATTTTAACTTCCAATTTGATACCCATCTGATATCCGTATCAAACAAAATTTTTGTTTATATCATATGGTAATAGAATATACTTAAAAGTACAGTTTTTTATTTTGAGAAGAATAATGCTGTCTTTTTTTAGTATTAATCTAAGGTTTCCTTGATCGGATTAACATTAATCTATTTGAATTGTTATTTTGAGTCATTCTCTCCTTTCATGTGTTTTCCGAGACATTATCGCACTGTTTGATTGTGCATTGACTCAACCGTTAATAAAAAGAACAACTTATATGTAATATGTTTCGTACACATAAATGTATGAAACTTGATATATATATATATGCTTTTCTCTTTAAAATCCGTCAATATAAACGTGCAATTTGTTTACACACCACTTGTTCACTTGGGATTCAAATCATCAATGTCCCAAAATCCAAATGTTAGAGCTAGTTAGAGTTTGAGGTTATGAGAAAAAGGAAACTTAACGTTATGAGTAAAATGTTGAGGTTAGAATTTGAATTTATTTTTGCCACAAAAAGCTCTCCAGCACTTGAGTCAGTTATGGCAATCCAAAAACTTAATAAATGGTGGTAAAAACAAAAAAATAAAAGAAGCTTGAAGAGTTGAAGCCATAACTCAAACTTTGGATGCTGACTGTTCTGAGTTCCAGACGGACACACCAGCTCATGGTAAATACAGACACATGGTTGGGGTAATTTGGTCAGTAAATTCAAATATATACAATGCTCTCTGGCTCGCTTCCCAAAGCCCAGTGTCTCTGCTCCAGCTCAAGCCCTGTCCCTTGTCCCTCCACCACATCCTAGATAAGTCCCAAACCTACATCTTCACTTCAGAGAGAGAGAAAGATAGATCGAAAGCTCCTGATTTGAGATCAAATCAAACCGGGCAAATGTTGCTTTGCCAACCCAGAAAATCCTACAAGAAGAACATTGCAGCTACTAAAACTGTGTGGTTTTTGGAGGTAAGTGTGTGCTTCTGTGTCTTCTGTGTCTGTGCCCATCTCGCAAAGAGTTTCAGAGCCAAAAAAGCAGCCAACTTCGCCTTTAAAATGTGCACAAGATACAACTACTTTTAGAGTTTAGACCACCTATAGCAGAACCCATGACCCCAATAACATGAAAGACCCTCCATGGATGAGACACTGCAAGCTTCATCTGTTCATATGTAGCTAAAAGAACCCTCCTTTTTTTTTTCTTTTTTTTCTTTTTCAAAGAACCCTTCTCATTTTTCTTTCTTGTTCTTTTTCTCTCTGGTTTTTAGCAGCAAATCAAGCTGATCAAGAGCAAAATGGGGTGTTGCTATTCAAGAATAGATAGAGAAGAGATGGTTTCGAGATGCAAATCAAGGAAGAGGTACATGAAGCAGCTCGTGAAAGCAAGACAAGCTTGGTCTGCAGCTCACACCATGTATCTTCGTTCTCTTCGCAGCACTGGTGCTGCTCTGCTCCAATTTTCAAATGCTGAAACTATCGTCCATCACCACAACAACCACTACAGCTACCACAACAACCACCACTCGCCCTCATAACTGCAAACTACCCAAACCTCTATCTCTCCACAACATCCGTCGCCGCACACCTGCCTCTG